AAATATTTTCTTCAAGTTTCACCTCTGTTAATGCAACAATATCTGGGACCTTAAGCTGTGTGTTATACTAAGCCTAGGAAAATTTAGGTCTGTTTTTTAGCTTCATTTATTTTAAAAATTCCTTACTAGTCAGTATACTATCATCTAAATGTTAAGTACTGTACATACGAATTTGTAACTTCCAACGACCGTCACAATAGTTACTATCAAAACAGGAGGATGGGTTGTATATACCGTATACTTGATTCTTTCTCATGAAACCAAAAAAAAAGACTATTCAAAGATATTTGTAAAACATTGGAATTAAATTTTTTGTTATTTTTATACCGTTTAACTTTTCTTAAAGGTTCGAGTAACCATGCTTACGATTTAAAGCTACAGTATATATCAAAGAAATACAAATTTAATAACTATGTTCAGGAGTTAGCTTGATTTGGGCCCTTTAACGTGCAGACAAAGTGAATAACTTAAGTCCAAGAACACCCAAATGGACAAAGGCATTTGGAAATGCAATTAGGAGCCAAAAAGGCATAAACCAAGACAAGAGTGTGGAAATAACACTTTCCTCACCTTAAAGTCATGACCCTCTGGAAGAGATTAACCTTAAAGCAGGTAAACTAAAAACTAAGGTCATACTAGGACACTTCCAAAGTTCTGACCACCTCTCACCTGAGACCAGAGGAACACACTGCTCAACTCTCAACCGGAGACCTGACACTGAATCTGGAGAGACTGCCAGGAAGAACCATCGAATGCTAAAAGGCAGGTTACAGTCACTAGAATCGCCTAGGTGGTGGGTTGATCTTTGCTTCCAACCCTTATGAGCAAGCAAGTTGGTCTGAAATATTGTTTGCCCCAGTGGGTGGGTGGAGAAAGTCAGAAGAGCTCTTGTGTATCCAGAGCAGCCCAATGGTGTCAGTAGCTAAAGCTGAGGGAAGCCACTGAGTCAATCAAGAAAAAAGGTTAAACTAATTTTCATTATTTTTCCATCTAAAATATTCTTTATTAAAAAAATATTTATGGATTATTTTAATGTTTATATTTGTATTCTATGCCTTGGGAAAACTTTGCTTAGAATATCATGTTAATGAATTTTAAAATTACATATTGAATGATAAATGGTTTTTCTTTTTGTACTACATGTAATTACCGTAAGAGCTTGGTATTCTGAACAATAACCCAATTTAATATGGTTTAAGAGTTTTCTCAACTTTCTGACTACTAGTAATAGGAATTCAGGTTAAAGGGTTATGCACACAGTTTTCAAGTAAACGACCGAAGTAACTGGGTAAACAGCAAGAGTTTACATGTGGAAATATAAATTATGTAGGTTGCAATAAAAAAAAAAAAATGCTGATTTTTTAAATTTTTGGACATTCCTGGCACGAAATTTGGTTAATTCGAATGGAGGTGGGTCCATTATGATTCCGATTACTGAGCAGACCGTATATAGACAAAGGGTTAAGTATCTACAGTATTAGACAAAAGGTGATGTTTGCTTTCTGGGAATGAGGAACCTCATTCCAGAAATTACAAACTACTACTTTATTAGTAAAACAATAATTCAGTGAACAAATGGGTCAGTAATGCACTGGATGTTTTTGTGTATGACTAGGAATTGATCCAAAGTATTCCTAGTCATTGTCTGTTCCCACTCATTATAATATTGGTAAAATATTTCATACCAATTTCTCAATAGCCTACCATTATGAGATAGCTTTAAATTTGTTGACCAAACCACACTAAAAACTGAACAGACGATGACATTTCGTCGTGGTCGAAATCGACTTAACAATGGTCCAGGACGGACTGAAAAGTCATCGTCTCTAATTTCTAGTGTGTGGTTTGTCAACACTTTTCAGCCATGTTATTGTGACTTCATCTGAATAGCTTTAATTAATCAACCTCTCTTTTTTTCTGTTTCAATTTTTTTTTTCTCCACAGGCTAGTACAGGAACAGACTGCTACCGACTTCTGTCAGCAGACAAAGCTTTCCCTTCCCACTATTTTCCCTGGAACATGACCCGCAAATTACAACCAGGTACCCAATTACTGCTATGTGAACAGAGGCGAACAGTGATGGACTGGCACCTAGTCAATCATCCATGGCCAGGACTTGAAACCAGATCCAATCCCTCTCAAATTATATCTTTTCCCTTCTTAAGTGGCCCCTAACTTACTTACACTTTGCCTGGCCAATAACTCATAATGCGTCCTGATATGAATATACTCAGTCCAGGCGAGGACATACACTGCATCCTAAATATTAGTTAAAAATCAATTTTTCCCCCCGTCACTATTGGACCCGTTTTAAAAGTGCACCAACATTTTTCCATTTTCTGTGATGTACCATATGGCATCATGGCACCGCCACCCACACTGTAGGCCTATTGATAGTGTGTTCATGCTCGTGACCGCTGCGGCTTCCCCTTGCTCAAAAACGTGTGCCTGTTTTGGTTATCTTTCCTCAGCTATATATTTATTAGTGTCTTTATAAACATTATATTTATTCCAAGATTGATAGTAATCAAGGATAGAGCCAGTCCATGACAATAGTAGGGAAAGAAACACGTCTGAGGGAAAAGCTCAGTAGTGTTCGCCAAAAGTACAGAACAGCAAAACACACACACAACAAAATTCAAGGCTTCAATAGACGAATTTTCTGATCTTGATTTTAAAAGTGCCGAAAGTGACAGTGCTGTAGATAGTGAGGCGATTGGAACAAGCGGCAGGTGAGGATGAAACTGAAAGTGAGGGGAGTGGTGGTGGTGGTGGTGGTGATTATACAGCCACCCGTGCAGGCCTTGCTATTAGAACTCGTACCGCACGTACCCCATGCACAAGTTTTGGTGAAGCCTGGTCTACTGACACCACCACCATTTGTAGACAGTTTTACTGGAACATCAGGCTTAACTGTACCAGTACCAAACACCCCTCTGGAATTTTTACAGTTACTACATTTATTATGCGAGATTGGCTGAAATATATGGTGTATGAAACCAACGTGTATTCATCACAAAACATGTCCAATGCTTCTAACAACACAATAAGTGGGATGAAGTGTGTAAAACAGCTTGACATATTTGGGACTGACAATGTTGATGACCATTGTGAAGATGCCAGAAATGACTATGCACTGGCAAACAGCTAAATTGTGGCAAGTACCTTCGTTCAATACATTTATAACTGCGAAACGATATGTAACGATTGCAAAGTATTTTCATACTTATAACAAAAATGACATTCCCAAAGACAATCAAGACAGACTAATAAAAGTTAGAACAATAATGAAATATCTAACACAAATGCAAAACATTATACATTCCTCAGAAAAATCTGTGTTTAGATGAAGGTACAATGTCATGGAGGGGCCATCTAGCTTTCAAGGTTTATAATCCAAATAAACCTGAAAAGTATTGAGTAAAACTGTACATGCTGCCTGAATCGCATTCTGGTTACATCTATGATTTTGAAGTGTATGCAAGAATTGGGAAGACAACAATTAAAACAGTTATGGGGTTGATTGAACCACTGAAGAACAAAGGTTACCATTTATATATATATGGATAACTACTATAATGTATTTCAACTTTGTGAGAAGCTGCTTGATCAAAGTGTATACACCTGTGGTACTCTCAGATTGCAGCGTGGTACACCAAAAGATCTTCAGTTACAGGCAAAGGGTAAACTGCCAGTAGATAAAACTGTATTCAGACGTAAGCACAATACTTTTATAATCTTGTGGAAAGATAAGGGAGTTGTTTCACTCATGACAACTTGCCACAATGCAGATACACAAGTGGAACGAAGGAAACGAGTACGCAAACGTGACGGAACATCTTCAGTGCAACAGGTCATTGTGAACAAACCAAGGGCAATCTGTGCCTACAATAACTACATGAGAGGAGTTGATCACTTCAACCAAATGATCAAATCATTTCACACGGAAATGTCACAAGTGGAGGAAGAAAATCGCAGTCTACTTTCTGCAAACGGCTATCCATAATGCTTTTGTGTTATACAAGTACTACACAACTGATAAAAAGAAACTCTCATTGCTCCAGTTCCACGAACTAATAATTTGGTCGCTGTTGAACCGAGTATAAGAAGTGACCTTTCCAAAATGTCATCATCATACATGCTAGTTATGTACAAGATGATGAGAGTAAATCTACTGGCGACAACGTTGCATCCCCCCTGACCATCAGGTGTGAGGCGGCCACTGTTCCCTTCTTCACCTCGAGAAAGGTCTGACGTGTCATATCTGCTACAAGTCTGGTAAAAGGAAGGACATCAAGTATAAGTGCAAGTTGTGTGGTGTGGCACTGTGTGTTGCACCATGCTCTGGCTTGTACCATCGCACGAGGACATACTGGGTGGATAAGCAGTAATGCTTGCTTACCATCCACTCCACCTATAAAACATGAGTTGAGAAACTTCAGAAAACATTTTTGCTTGAGCAGATGTAGTGGTTAAACCTAATGCTCAACTCATGCTCTACGAACTTCATTAGGTGGTAAGTACAGACATGTTTATTCATTTTTTTATACATGTGATATTGTGTTACGAACACATATGTGATGGAAGCAAGACAAAAACAAATGATATAGAGTAACAAATAATGTCGGGAACAAATAACTAGTATAAATAATGATAAAAAGCCAGTTTTTTCACATGACTGTACTTTATTCTTATGGTATTGGTAATGTTGAAATGTTCTTTCATTTGTCCTTATATACATACATCCCTTTAGAGCGTTCTATTGTGAACAAATTGATACCAAAATGAATGACTTAACACGCAAATTGAGGTGATAAAACTGAAAAGAGTACACACATTTTAGTGTGTGACTTTGCCTGACCCAGCCTCGCGTGCTGGGTCAGGAAAGAGTTAAAGTAAATAGCTTTTGACATTTCTAGTCATCATCCATTGATAAATTTTTCCCCAATTCTACTTTGTTCAAGCAGACTGGTGTTAAAAGAACCTTGAAGACATCTTACCTGAGGAGTTGGAGATGGAGTAAGGGTGGTGCGATGTGGAATAAGGGGCTGTGAATGCTGTCCCTTTAGAAACTTGAGGACTGTAGAAATTGCATCTCGTTGAGCAGGTGTTACTGACCCACTCTTTAACTGGTTTAACAACTGACCAGCAGTCACATGCCCATTAGCCACTCCTGAATCCACAAATTAATAAATAAAATTATTTTCTAGTAACCTTAAAGCAATTTAAAATGCATGCACAGAACAGTGATGAGCAATTAGATACAATACTTTGGATTACATTGATCACTGAATAATAATGTTCTTAGACAACAGTAACCGTCACTTCTAATAATTCATGTAACTACATGGACGACCACTGAAACTAAGGTAGTTGATCTCTGATCTGGCAGACATTTCTGCAACACAAACAATATTTAGATTAATCTCTCAATAAGTATTGAATCTAGAGACTATAATGTGGTGTATGTAATTTTGATACTTTAACTTGTTTTGTAATTCATACAGCCTAAACAAAATACTTAAATCAATCTAATTTCACACACAAACCAATAAATACAGTTTAGGCTTAAGTGTCCAAGGGTTGAGGATATTAACCTAAAAAGATATTTTTGGTCCCCAGATTTAATGAGAGAGAAGAGGGTATATTAATATAGTGTGAGACACACAAGATGAACTTACCCTGCAACAGACTCTGCACATCTGGCCTCAAGATAGCATCACGCAGAACCGTGTCTGGAGGTTGTGGTGAAGGAGTAACACTCATACGACCAAGACCACCCATAAGTTGTTTAATTGGGTCAAGTTGCTGTTGCTATTAAATTTAAGAAATTTTAATGCATTAAAACAATTTAAAATTTAGTCAAAACAACACACTTATATGAAATAAAACTACTGTAATCTTTAATATATAATTCAACATGCAATCAGGGTAATCCCCCCTCTGATCCCTCTAGCCTCTGGTTAGGGTGATCTGCTTGGTTTAAAGGGTGCTTCTTAGACTTCATAAATCCTCATTTATTGAGTCATTCTTTGGTTTATTTAATCTTCGTCGTTTGGTAAAGGCAGATTATGGCTGCTACTGAATTTACTGTGCTTGCCATTCAATAAACAGGCACCAGTTACCGAGTTTGTTGTGGCAGAATTTTGCCCCAAGTCGATGCTTTCCATGACGTTTTCATACAGTGACTGTGGGAATGTACCAGTGTTTCCCTGTCAATATTAAATGTTAATGAACAATAATTTAATGCTACAATAGCCAACTATCACATGTGCACCACTAACTATTAATGCAAATACAGTACTGGAATTACACTGCATATTGAACAATATTGATCTTTTTAGAGGGAAAGGTGGTTACACAACTTTCCAGTGAGAGGGAATATTTTTAAATGTACAGTATAGTACAAATATTTCTGTACAGTATTCTTTATTACCATCATCATCATCTGTTCATATTCAGTTCTGGGAGCCACTTAGTAGCATGTCTTTGCACCTTTTCCAGTTTGTTGATGTGCTTCTTAAGATATGGGCAGCATATCTTAAGGAAATCTTAAGAAGCATATCTTAAGAAGCACATCAACAAACTGGAAAAGGCGCAAAGACATACTACTAAGTGGCTCCCAGAACTGAAGGGCAAGAGCTACGAGGAGAGGTTAGAGAGGTGTGTCGGTGTGTGTGTGTAATTACCTAAGTGTAATTACTTAATTGTAGTAATTACTTAATTGTAGTTTTGCCTCACCGAGGCAAAACGTTTAAATGAGAGCAGGAATGAAGAAATCAATTCTTTTTTCTACAAAGTGATAGGGGTAGGCAAACCAATAAAGTGGTACATAAAGGCAAACCAACAAAAGGATTAGAGAGAGTGGGAGTGAAGAATAAGGAGAGGGGGAACAAGTTCCTGAAAATTGCATACACCAACATAGATGGAGTGTGATCAAAGATACTGGAGTTAAGTGATGTAATACAGCTGCAGACACCAGACATTGTTGCACTCAGAGACAAAACTTGAAGATGATATTTTAAATGGTCATATTCCCAAGAGGCTACTCGGTCTGGAGACGGGACAGAAAAATTAGGAAAGGCGGTGGCGTTGCTGTGCTGGTGAAAGAACACCTAAAGATAAATAAAATAATAATTGCCAATCCCCGAGAAGTTTACATAATAGCACTAGAGATATGCAATCAGGATGATAAACTAACGATCATAAATGCATATAGTCCACCACCAAGCAACACATGGACAAAGGAGGAGCTAGATAATATACGAGAGGGTCTTATAACAATAATGAGAGAAATTAGTCAAAGCTGATAAAGGTAGATCACGACTGTTGGTAGTCGGGGACTTCAACTTAAATCCATAGACTGGGAGGCATATGAAGCTAGAACGGAGGATTTTCGATTTGTAGATTCGTAAACCTTATCCAAGAAACATTCATATTTCAACATGTTACACAAGCTATGAGGATGAGGGAAGGGGATGTTCCCTCCATACTGGATTTGATATTTACCAGGAAAGAGGAAGAGATATTTGACATTCAGTACCTCCCTCCCTCAGGTAAAAGTGACGATGTCTTATTGGAAATACAGTATGCTATGCTTTATAATTTGGAAGAAAATGAGGTTGAAGCAGTTGAAAAGCCTGATTTCAGGAAAGGTTATTATGGGGAACTCAGACATTTGTTTAATGAAATTGACTGGAAAAACTTGCTGTTAGGACAAAGTAAATGAGATGTATGTCAAGTTTTGTGAAATATGTAGTTTCAAAGCATTATATGACAGTGTTGGGAAGATGGGACACCACGAGCGTAGCTCTCATCCTGTAACTACAATTAAGTAATTACACTTAGGTAATTACACACACACACACACACACCGACACACCTCTCTAACCTCTCCTTGTAGCTCTTGCCCTTCAGTTCTGGGAGCCAGTTACTAGTATGTCTTTGCACCTTTTCCAGTTTGTTGATGTGCTTCTAAAGATATGGGCACCACACAACCGCTGCATATTCTAGCTTTGGCCTAAACTTTGGTGTGTGTGTGTGTGTGTTTGTGTGTTTGTTTTTAAGGAGTAATTACAGAATAACCTATGGGGTGGACTTAAAAGGGTTCTAGGTTAGGGGGTTAATATGTTAGTACAATACTATGTCATGTGAAACAGTTAGGGTTCAATGTGTAGACTAGTTAAATATCCAGGGTATAAACCAATTAGGATCTAGAAAATGACCACATTCAATGGCAACCTGGTTAGTGTAGCCGGGTAAGGATAAAGATATCCTTTCCCTATATTTTTGGAAGTAGACAATTAGATACTTATGTACTTGTTAAGTCTATTTTATGTAATAAATAGTCAAATGCACTTGAGCTGCTGTACCCTATCCTTGTGCTTCATACATGTGTCATGAACTAAACAAAACATCCAGAAACAAGGGGGAGGAACAGACCGATTATAATACCTCAAGACATTAAATTACTTATCTAATGAATTGAATATGCCAAATGAGGGTGTAATTTGGGTACAACATTCTGTATGACAAGTCCTGCTGTATTGAATAGGATCTGCTCCCATACAGGTCAATATTCAGAGTTTCCACTGTATGTTGTACCTATACATTGATTTTAAAGCAATGTAACTCACAAATTAAGAGCTGCCTGTATTCTTGATGAGTAAACACAAAAACCCCACCTGTTGCAGTAGCTGCTGCTGTCTCTTTTGTTGCTGCTGCTGCTGCTGCTGCTGCTGCTGCTGCTGTTGTTGCTGCTGCTGAACTTGTAGTAATTTCATTATGACATCTTGAGTAGATGGTCCTTGGCCTGGGATCTGAGACATGTTGGGTGGGGGTTGGTAATGTGTCACCATGCTTGGGGGTGGTATGTTGAGGTTAGGCACAGCAGGAGGGGGCATGTTGCGGGGTTGATGCGATGGCTGGTTCTGTTGATGCTGTCCAGGACTGCCGCCACTACCTTTCATAAGCACTGGAAAGAATGTATGTACATCAACTTTAATTAATGTTTATTATTTTACTTTTGCACATAAATATCAACATAAATTTGCATAATGTTTGCATGTCTTAACCTGCTTGAAGGGGGGTTCTCGAAGTTCTTCTACTCCCCAAGCCCGGCCTGAGGCCAGGCTTGACTTGTGAATTTGGTCCACTAAGCTGTTGCTTGGAGCAGCATGCAGGCCCACATATCCACCACAGCCCGGTTGGTCTGGCAATCCTTGGAGAAAATGATCTAGTTTTCTCTTGAAGATGTCCACGGTTGTTCCAGCAATATTTCTCATGTTCGCTGGGAGGATGTTGAACAACCGTGGACCTCTGATGTTTATACAGTGTTCTCTGTTTGTGCCTATGGCACCCCTGCTCTTCACTGGTTCTATTCTGCATCTTCTTCCATATCGTTCACTCCAGTATGTTGTTATTTTACTGTGTAGATTTAGTACCTGGCCTTCCAGCTGCTTCTACATGTATATTATTTGATATCTCTCTTGTCTTTTTTCTAATGAGTACATTTGGAGAGCTTTGAGACAATCCCAATAATTTAGGAGCTTTATTGAGTATGTTCTCTGTATTCCCTCTATTTCAGCAATCTCTCCTGCTCTGAAGGGGGAAAGCGAGTAATGAGCAGTATTCAAGATGGGACAGTACAAGTGATTTGTATAGTACAACCATTGTAATGGGATCCCTGGATTTGAAAGTTCTCGTAATCCATCCGATCATTTTTCTGGCTGACACAATATTTGCTTTGCTATGCTCCCTAAACGTTAGGTCGTCAGACATCATTATTCCCAAATCCTTTACATGCTGCTTTCCTACTATGGGCACATTTGATTATGTTTTGTACCCTGTATTATGTTTAAGGTCCTCAATTTTAACTGTACCTGAGTACCTGGAATTTATCACTGTTAAACATCGTCTTATTTTCTGCTGCCCAGTCAAAAACTTTATTAATATGGGGAGCAGAGAGGTAGTCTGGGTGAAGTGTGGGTTACACCCTCTGTGTCATCTGGTAATGTACCTGCCTGAAGTTTTTCAATGTCTTCAGCAGAGTTAATTTTCATGTTGATTTTTGTGTCATCTGCAAAGGATGATACAAAGCTGTGACTTGTATTTTTGTCTATATCTGATATGAGAATACGGAAAAGCAGTGGTGCAAGGACTGTACCCAACATGGGAAATATGTGTGTATATATGTATATATGACATGCACATAACACAGTGTCTTCGGAGAGTACGGATGTTCTACTGCCATAATACAATGTATGTGTTCATTATACATAGGATTGGCACGAAAAAACAAATAAAATGTATTTGGAATTGTGCGCAAAAAATAAACAAAAATATATTCGCTGCAACTCGCGCATCCTGCCCTGGGCGACCAGGGAATGATGACGTCACGCGCGAACTTACGGACCCCATAGCAGCCAAAGTACGTACAATTTCGACCTTCTCTTACTATACCCATACTCAGGGAAGGGTTTGACACTTTCAAAACAAAAAATCAGCGTTGAATGTAATGAAACGCCATTTTCTGGGTGAGTCCCGGAGGCTCCCCGGAGCTTACTAGGCTGATATGCTAATGTCAGACTTCGGCATTAGTCATGTATATGGAGTTCTATGGGCCTACCGGGGACCACGAGCCAGAACCTGGCCTCCTCAGTAGAGGCAAGGGGAGCAATGGCCTATAGAAACCCCCATGTGGTTGGAAGCATTCTTTATCTGCCATCAACCGGGTTAGGCACCCAGAAAGGTTAGCGTCCTGAAACAAACCCCTATTCTGGTGAAACTTGCTACCACAAGCCAAACAAGAGGTTAGAACTCCCCTAAAATAAATGAGCAAACAATCATGACGTCACACGTCGCTGCGCCGCTGTCTGCGCAGCTCCCCCCTCCTTGGGAGGGGAAGGGGGAGAGCCCCAGATCCATTGCACTGGCTATCCATCTCCAGTTCTGAGGCAGTGTCAAAAAACGTGAAAAAAACGCCGACCGGAGGGAGGGAGGGATGCCGGGGAGCCTCCGGGACTCACCCAGAAAATGGCATTTCATTACATTCAGTGCTGGTTTTCTGGGGGAAGGGGATGGGGGGAGCCCCTTCGGCTCCCCGGAGCTAACTCCACACAGAGAAAAGTAGAGGGTCCTACCCAGGAGGTGGTCACCGCACACTCCTCAACTCTAAGTCGAGACAACTGGCTGCAACTGCCGATCCAAAGTGACACAGGCCCGACTAGGCCCAGGAATGCGCACAAGATAACGAGCAGCCAGGACCCTGCTCGACCTCCAAAAACCTCGTGCCCGAACGACAGTCCAGGATATGTTGCCAAATACAGAGGAAAGAGCCGCGAATTTGCGAACATGGACACGGGGAGCACTCACATAGTCAGCATAAGACTGGGTAAGCAAACCACAAACAAGCAACAAAACTCGCAGGGCTCCGGGTCGAAGGTGCCACCGACTCCACAAGCAGCAGACGGAGGCAAAATAGTGAGTCACCCAGAGACAAGGAGACAGAGCAACCCTCGAACTCGCACAAAGCGAGGGGGGACCCTGGGCTCACATCCATTGGAACCATGCGTCCCCGTGGGGATTCCCAGGGTCCTGAGCGTTTACTTGTAGAGGACTCGCGCTGAGGTAAACCCAGGCAGGTTACTGCTAACCGGCGCCCAAAACTACCAAACAACCTTCTAAGAACTGAAGCCCCGGGATGTGTACACTCACAGGGACCTAGCAGGGGGAACCACCAGAAAAAGGAAGAGTACTCAGTGCACAGGGGGGCAAGAACAAAGGCAGACCCCCCCCCCCAAAAAAAAAAAAAAACTGCAAGAGGACAATGTACCCAGGTGGAACTATGAGCCGGTTGCCATGACAAGCTGCACAGTACCCTGCCCCCCTACCCCAAGGCAAACAAGGGAGACAGAACACCCGAGCACACAAGGGGCGGCCGAAAACCAAGCAGTAAACGGCCTAGCAGGGGCAAAACCCAAGGAACTTGAGGAAGGGAACCCCAAGCCCCAAGGGCAGTACTTACAGGGCACCTAGGAAAGGAAACCCTAGGCGCATGCAGCCCGAGTACTGAAGAAACACTCCCGGCTCATGCAATAACTAGAAGACACACCACACACTAGGTACAGTTCTGAAACAACCACCGGAGCCAGAGCACACTACCTCAGCCTTTAGCATCAGCCGCCTTAGAACTGGGGGTAGATAGCCAGAGCGATAGGTCTGGAGCTCCCCCTTCCCTCCTCCCAGGGAGGGGGGAGCTGCACGGACAGCGGCGCAACGACGTCATGATTGTTTGCTCGTTTGTTTTAGGGTAGTTCTATCCACTTGTTCGGCATGTGGTAGCAATTTTCACCAGAACAGTGGTTTGTTTTGGGACGCTTACCTTTCTGGGTGCCTAACCCGGTCGATGGCAAACATAGGATGCTTCCAACCACACGGGGGTTTCTATAGGCCATTGCTCCCCTTGCCTCTTCTGAGGGGGCCAGATTCTGGCTCATGGTCCCCCGTAGGCCCATAGAACTCCATACACATGACTGATGCCAAAGTCTGACATTAGCATATCGGCCTAGTAAGCTCCAGGGAGCCAAAGGGGCTCTCCCCAAAAAAAATTTTTTTCCAGAGAATTTATTTACGGCACACTGGGGGTGTCATATTTGGAAGCCAAGTACTTGAGTAATACAAGCAAGTCTTACGCTTCTCTCACAATGGTCTTTATGTTTCTCTAGTGAGAGTTTACTATCCAAAACCACCCCTAGATCTCATTCTTTATTAGATTTCTTCAATTCCTTTCCACATAATTTGCAAGATGTGTGTGGTCTATTTTCTCCGAGTCCACGTTCTATAACATGGCATTCACATTGAATTCCATAAGCCTTATGTTGCTCCAAACACTAATTTTATCTAGATCAAATCTAGGTAGTGTGTGTATTTATAATATTATGTATGTATTTATATATAAGTATGAACTCATGTGCCACTAAAGAACTATGACCCAACCAGGGTTCAAACTTGTACTACCAGGGCTCAAATCACATTCACAGTACTATAAGCTATAGCCCCTGGGATTATAGTGGCCATAGTCTTAGTCCCTATAATCCCAAATGTTTCTTGCAATTTAAGTGAATAAATTTTGCACGTACAAACGATTTGAATACCCGTATCATTGTAATTTAGGCTACTCTATCTAGAGTCTTTCTAAAATATATCCTCATCTGCAAACCAATACAAAACAGGCAACACACAACCACAAGAATATGCTGCTTTTAGGGATCACGTAGTAATCGTTGCAGGGTTCATTCTGGTGACCAAGAAATCATTCTTGCTCTGCAATGTTGTGGATATATTTACTAATTAAATATAGATACTGTATGTTTATCATTTTTATATTACTAAATGAGAAATGGTTAAAATGTTTGTCTAAAGATCATCATTTGAGTTTCTGATCACTTGCTGCTTACCGAAACTTTGGGTACGGCCAGTTTTACAGTAATATTTAAGTGGGTTTTGAAGGTACTGCATTTATTTCAGTGTGCAGGCGATGAGTCACAATAACGTGCTAAAGTGTATGTTGACCAGACCACACACTAGAAGGTGAAGGGACGACGACGTTTCAGTCTGTCCTGGACCATTCTCTACTTGAGAATGGTCCAGGACGGACCGAAACTTCGTCATCCCTTCACGTTCTAGTGTGTGGTCTGGTCAACTTCATTTCAGTGTTACTGGAATTTAACTGACTGACTGACTGGAATTACTGCATAGATTAATGTTCTCTCTTTCACTCACAGCAAAACGTTTGGAAAAACTTCAATCATACACAGGGCAACATGACTACTGTCAGTCACACTGATGAAATAAAGGCATTAGGCCAGTAAGAGACTTACTAGCAATGAGATCATTTTCTGTAGGGGCATTAGGTAGAGCTGGCTGAACTGACAGAGGGGATGGCTTCACCACACCACTGTCTTTCATTCCACCATTCAACAACTGAAATTAATTACAAAATTTGTTTAGGAATCTGCTTCACATAATTTGTTAAGTACAGATGACAAGATAAATTATATTGGGAAATACATATACTTCAGTGCAAAGCAATCAACATTTGATAAGATTTCCTAGATAAATATTAGAATTGGGTCATGTATCATAATTCATAATAAATAATACTGCAAGACTTAAAAAGAGCAGCAGAAGAAAGAATTGTCTAACACACACAAAATAGATCTTCAAATTTGGAAAATATAAGCAGTAAAATCAAAACACAAAACCCATAATAAAGGGTGAGGGATGCACTGACAGTTTACCTTCATCAAAACATCCTTGGCTGAATTCCTGTGTTCGGGTTTGCTGATGCCCTGAGTAGAAGTAACCTTTGAGAGCTGAAAGAACATCCATCCATCACAGAATCTGACACTAATGCAACTACTCAAGCAGCCTTACAAAGCCTAATTAATGCCATGCCAATTCAAACTTGCACATTTCGTCAATAGCACTGTGATTGCACTGATAATGTAATTTAACACTAGACATTTGTTAATGGGTAAAATCTAAGACCTTTTATTGGTGTTCATGAAATAGAAAACCTTTTCATATTTAGTTGTGTGCACTACAATTTGCCATAAATATGTATTAATAGAAACCCTGGTATAGATACTTTGTGAACATAATAGTTGATCATGTTCAATCATTATAAAACACATCACATTGCACAAGACAAAGATGCCATCAACAGCTTTACTAGATAAACTATAAAATGTTTGCAATTTCTTGTTTTTCATAGCACAAGGGAAGCCAAACTTTTTAGCTTCATCTTAAAGCTTTATTTTTTTAAAGATCATCCTACTACATATACAGTATACAATTTCACTGATTAAAGTTCTCAAAATACTGGTCTGTTATTCTTTTAATTTTTTATCATTTTTGTTTGTGAAACTTTAATCAGATTAATCTAAAACAAGTCACTGAAAAATATGTACAAGTTATTAATGTCAGAATAAAATATTCTGATATAAATATTTTTTACACACACACACACACACTCTTGAAAAATAGGTGAGATAACAGGAAAGTGCTAAGGGAAGTGAAAAATCGGATGAGAAAAAGTTGCCCTAGTGTTTACAGTGCAGAGAAGAACATTCAAGATGGCCACTGGCAAGGGGAAAAACAAAACAGAGCTTGATTTTGAGGGATTCAATGAAGAAAGCATTGATATTAGTAGTCTACATAACAAGTTGGTAAATTTAGATACTATAGTGAACTCTCATGTAGAAATAATTAGTAAATTGAAAGAAAGTAATGACCATTTGAATAGCAAAGTTTTATGTCTTGAGGGTTTAGTGAAAGACTTGCGCAAGGATAAGAATCAATTGGAAACAAATTGCAAAGCCATGGAAGAAGAAAATAAACTCTTAAAAATAGCTTTGGAAGAAGTTAAAGTAAATTTAAACATAAATGACTACAATAGGTTAGGCAAGGAAATTCAACAGTAGAAACAGCTTTTGTCAGCACAGATGGAGGAAGTTACACAGGGAATAGAACAGTGCAAGAAAGATATGCAACTCACTTATGCACAAGTGGCCAAGGAGAAGGAAAAAATAGAAGAAGCAGTAAAGGAAGTCAAACACTGCAGCAACCAAGATAAAACAAACATTAGGCTAGAAGTGAGGAAAGAATTGGCATCTAACCCGAAGTTGGTGCAAAATACAGTTGATCGGAGTAAGTCCCTGATCATTTTTGGCTGCAAAGAAAAGGCGATAACATCTAGGTCAGAAAGAGCTGTAGAAGAAGCTAAAGTAGTAGATAAAATTGTTGGCCTCGTGGAAGGTCTTACAAACAGAGAATGTGTGCGACTACAGGAGAATAGGCAGGTACGTAAAAGGGAAAGATCGACCTTTGAGGATCACCCTAAACGGTGCCAAACAGATGGAAGAAGTACTAAGGAATGCTAGAAAATTGCAAAGGGATGAGGATGGGAAAGGGTGGTCGTTAAGACGAGATCTTTCAAAAGAAGATAGAGAGAAGCTGAAACTGAACCTCGCCGAGGCAAAACATTTAAATGAGAGCAGGAATGAAGAAGAAATAAATTCTTTTTTCTACAAAGTGATAGGGGTAGGCAAACCAGTAAAGTGGTACATAAAGGCAAACCAACAAAATCAATAGAGAGAGGGGGAGTGAAGAATAAGGAGAGGGGGAACAAGTTCCTGAAGATTGCATACACCAACATAGATGGAGTGAGATCGAAGATACTGGAGTTAAGTGATGTAATACAGCTGCAGACACCAGACATTGTTGCACTCACGGAGACAAAACTTGAAGATGTAATTTTAAATGAGGTCATATTCCCAAGGGGCTACTCAATTTGGAGACGGGACAGAAAAATTAGGAAAGGCGGTGGCGTTGCTGTGCTGGTAAAAGAACACCTAAAGGTGAAGGAAATAATGACTGCCAATCCACAAGAAGTTGACATAATAGCACTAGAGATCTGCTATGAGGATGATAAACTAATGATGATAAATGCATATAGTCCACCGCCAAGCAGCACATGGTCAAAGGAGGAGCTAGATAGTAAACGTGAAGGTCTTATAACAATAATGAGAGAGATTATAGCGAGAGCGGATAACGATAGATCACGACTGTTGATAGTCGGTGACTTCAACTTGAAATCCATAGACTGGGAAGCATATGAAGCTAAAACAGAAGATTTTTGGACCTGTAAATTTGTAGACCTCATCCTGGAAACATTCTTGTATCAACATGTTAAACAAGCTACGAGGATGAGGGAAGGGGACGTTCCCTCCATGCTAGATTTGATATTTACCAGGAAGGAGGAAGAGATATTTGACATTCAGTACCTTCCTCCCTTGGGTAAAAGTGACCATGTCTTTTTGGGAATAAAGTATGCAATGCGTTATAAGCTGGAAGAAAATAAGGAGGTTGAAGCAGTTGAAAAACCAGACTTCAGGAGAGGACATTATGGTGACCTTAGAAATTTTTTTAGTGAGTATAATTGGACAGACTTGATGCTAGACAAGGAAGTGAATGAGATGTATGGCAAGTTTTGTGAAATATATGATAAAGGCACAAAAAAATTTATACCAAAACAGAGATGCAGAACTAGGAAACAGGATTGGTTCAATAGAAATTGCGAGAGGGCTAGAGACCGAAAGACACAAAAATGGAATCAATACAGGAAGAGGCCGAACCCCCAAACATACCAGCGATACAAAGATGCGAGAAACAATTACACGGCAGTGAGGAGAGAGGCAGAAAGAAATTTTGAAAAAGGGATTGCGGACAAATGTAAAACAGAACCAGGTCTATTCTATAAATTCATAAACAACAAATTGCAGGTAAAGGATAATATTCAGAGGTTGAAAATGGGAAATAGATTCACGGAAGATGAAAAGGAAATGTGTGAAACACTAAACGAAAAGTTCCAAAGTGTGTTTGTACAAAATGAAATCTTTAGGGAACCAGATACAATAAGAATTCCAGAACAACATAGAACACATAGAGGTGTCTAGAGACGAAGTGGAAAAAATGCTCAAGGAGCTCGGGAAGAACAAAGCAGCTGGCCCAGATGGCGTTTCACCATGGGTTCTGAGAGAATGTGCATCTGAGCTCAGCATTCCACTTCACCTGATCTTTCAGGCATCCCTGTGTACAGGAATAGTAGCAGACGGGTGGAAACAGGCTAACATAGTTCCAATCTACAAAAGTGGCAGCAGGGAAGACCCCCTCAATTATAGACCTGTATCATTGACAAGTGTAATAGTGAAAGTATTGGAAAAACTAATCAAAACTAAATGGGTAGAACACCTAGAGAGAAATGATATAATATCAGACAGACAGTATGGTTTTCGATCTGGAAGATCCTGTGTATCGAATTTACTCAGTTTCTATGATCGAGCCACAGAGATATTACAGGAAAGAGATGGTTGGGTTGACTGCATCTATCTGGACCTAAAAAAGGCTTTCGACAGAGTTCCACATAAGAGGTTGTTCTGGAAACTGGAAAATATTGGAGGGGTGACAGGTAAGCTTCTATCATGGATGAAAAATTTTCTGACTGATAGAAAAATGAGGGCAGTAATCAGAGGCAATGTATCGGAATGGAGAAATGTCACAAGTGGAGTACCACAGGGTTCAGTTCTTGCACCAGTGATGTTTATTGTGTACATAAATGATCTACCAGTTGGTATACAGAATTATATGAACATGTTTGCTGATGATGCTAAGATAATAGGAAGGATAAGAAATTTAGATGACTGTCATGCCCTTCAAGAAGACCTGGACAAAATAAGTATATGGAGCACCACTTGGCAAATGGAATTTAATGTTAATAAATGTCATGTTATGGAATGTGGAATAGGAGAACATAGACCCCACACAACCTATATATTATGTGAGAAATCTTTAAAGAATTCTGATAAAGAAAGAGATCTAGGAGTGGTTCTAGATAGAAAACTATCACCTGAGGACCACATAAAGAATATTGTGCAAGGAGCCTATGCTATGCTTTCTAACTTCAGAATTGCATTTAAATACATGGATGGCAATATACTAAAGAAATTGTTCATGACTTTTGTTAGGCCAAAGCTAGAATATGCAGCTGTTGTGTGGTGCCCATATCTTAAGAATCACATCAACAAACTGGAAAAGGTGCAAAGACATGCTACTAAGTGGCTCCCAGAACTGAAGGGCAAGAGCTACAAGGAGAGGTTAGAAGCATTAAATATGCCAAAACTAGAAGACAGAAGAAAAAGAGGTGATATGATCACTACATACAAAATAGTAACAGGAATTGATAAAATCGACAGGGAAGACTTCCTGAGACCTGGAATTTCAAGAACAAGAGGTCATAGATTTAAACTAGCTAAACACGGATGCCGAAGAAATATAAGAAAATTCACCTTCGCAAATAGAGTGGTAGACGGTTGGAACAAGTTAAGTGAGAAGGTGGTGGAGGCCAAGACTGTCAGTAGTTTCAAAGCGTTATATGACAAAGAGTGCTGGGAAGACGGGACACCACGAGCGTAGCTCTCATCCTGTAACTACACTTAGGTAATTACACTTAGGTAATTACACACACACACACGAGACCAGAGAAGGTTACCAGAGCCAGGAATGAATACATCAGGGTGAGAAGAGAGGCAGAAGGGCAATATGAAAACAACATAGCAAGCAAGGCTAAGATCCAACCGAAATTGCTACACAGCCACATCAGGAGAAAGACAACAGTGAAGAACAGGTAATGAAACTGAGGATAGGGGCAGACAGATTCACTACAAATGACAAAGAAGTGTGTGAGGAACTATATGAAATTCCAGGAAGTCTTCACATTAGAGCAAGAAGTTCCAAAGATAAGAGAAGGAATAAT